ACCAGATCTCATTATAGGTGGTTGTAAGCCACCATGTGGTTGCTAGGTATTGAACTCAGGTCCTCTGGAAGAGCAGTCAGTGCTCTTAACCACTGAGCCATCTCCCCAGCCCCTACTTGTGCTTTTTATATTTTATAATTGAGTCCAGGTTCCGTAGCACACACCTGTAACCTAGAGATCAGGGAAGCATAGTTCATGTCAGCCAGAACTACTGAGACTGTCTCAGAAAAGTTTGTTTTTTAACTGATGTATTTTTAGGAGTAAGTTGAAACTTATACTGATATACTATTCACATATTTTGTTAAGAACTGGGAGACTTGGAGGAAAATTAAGTAGAAAGTAGTGATTCATAAATAACCCTACTATGACATAATAGTAGTAATTATTAAAGTTTTTGGTGTATCACTTCTCGTTATCTTTATAGCTAAAATAAGTTAAGAAAATAAAAAGGCAGAGTTAATACAAACTTCCAATAAAGGTGTGTTGGTAAGTATCAAAAATTATGTGCTAAGCTGAGTTTATGGTTCACATTTGTAAATCAGAAGTTCAAGGCTATCCTTAGGTGCATAGCTATTTGAAGGCCAGCCTTTACTATGTATGACCCTGTCTCAAAAAGCAGAGGAAAAGAAAAAAGGTATGTTAAAAATCATTTTAAAAGCTTTCTTAATCTTGTGTGTGTGTGTTGTTTTGTTTTTTAAATCTATTTAGGGAAGAGAAATCCCGGAAGAATAAGTGCTGGAAATCTCTCTTCATAGATGCTTACTCAGATGTAGGAAGATACATTAACCATTATGCTGCTATTAAAAAGGCCTGGGATGACCTCAAGAAGTACTTGGAGCCCAGGTGTCCTCGGATGGTTTTATCTCTGAAAGGTACTAGGAGTACAGGGTCCCCCATTCACATTTAGTTAGTATAGCCGGACTAATTGAAATAGCTTTGGATCTGTGTGTACCTGGGCTAATCCAACCTCTTAGTTAGTTCACCATACACATTTTGTTAATAGACAAGGAAGTATAGTGCTGATGTTGTTACAAGAATCTTGCCCTTTTTTGGTTAACCTGGGAACCCATATGGATATTAAATAAAAGCTGAGCTACTTTATCTTTATGGCTGTTTTATATAAAGAAACAATGCTAAAATTGCTTGAGAGTAACCATTATGATTTATTTTTATTTTTGCAATATTGGTGATTGAGGTGATTGCACTTTAGGCAAGTATTCTACCATGGAAATGTAACCCCAGCCCTAAAGATGATGATTATTATTGTTTTGTGTGTATGTGTTTAGTGTGCATGTGTGTGTGTATGTTCACATGTGCTCTCACATTCCTCTTTGGAAGGCAGAGGACATCACATGTCTCTCTGGATTGCTCTCCACTTTACTTACTGAGTTCAGTGACTGAGCTAGTCTAGGTAGCCTGCTTACCTAGGTATTCTTGCCTCTGCCTTCCAAATGCTGCCTCCCCTGCTCAACTTTTATGTAGTTTCTGGGAATCCAAACTTCAGTCGTCATGCTTATGTGACAAGACATGTTTAATTCATGGAATCATTTCTCCAAACCAAGATTAGTTTTTTAATTGAAATCTTTTGTCAGTACCTTTTCTTCTTTGATGTCTAGCATGTTAGGAAAGAACCTGGGTCTTTAAGTATGTTAGAGTATCACAAGAATCCAGACATTTTTCTTTTCGCAGAGTTTTACAAAGTAGTCAAACCAAGATTTGAACTGAAGTCTATTTGACCCCAGAATCTATGTTCTTTCTATTCTATTGCCTAATTATGACTAGAACTAGTAACAAGTTATTTCTGTTGGATTTGTTAATTAATCCATATAAAATACATTTATAACTGCTTATCTGTGTAGCATGAATAATAAAAACCCAGAAACAGATAATTGAGGTTCAGTCTGAAGATCAGAAAAGCAAAGCAGCCAGCCACTAGAGAGACCTTTTACCTCTACCAAATCTTCAGACAAAAAGGGTGATCCTACAGTACTCTGCACCAACCTCAGACTCCACACTACTGGGTTCCTGTCTCTTCCCCTTTATATTCCCCTCTCTGCCCAGCCATATTGCTCCTGTCTCCACCTCCTAGTGCTGGGGTTCTAAAGGCATGTGATCCCAAATGCAGGGATCACCTTTGTGTGAGCTCTGTTTCTCTTTTAGACAGACTCAATCTTGTGTAGCTCAGGGTGGCCTTGAACTCACAGAGATCCATTTGCCTCTGTCTCCCTAGTCCTGGGATTAAAGGTGTGTAACCATTGCTTGGCTGAGTAGTGACTTAGCTCTGCACTCTGATCTTCAGGCAAGCACTGTAATCTGCTTTCCACTTTATGTTTTTTCAGACTTATTCACTAAGTGGAACCAGGAGTTTGCTGTAGTTTTGCTAAGCTAAAACTAGAATCTGTTCTTTTTCACTCTTTCTCATTAGAACCAGCCTTTCTAAATTATCATTCTTTTATTCTTTTACATTTCCACTGTAATTTCTCATGGAAATGTTACTTTCAGACAAACCATGATTTCATGAAAAAAATGCTTAAATCTGGGTTAGAAGGCAGACTAAGTGGTCTTAGTAGAAGGAGTAGGGTAGAACGCTGGAGTCCCCCGTTAATATCTTAACAGCTTATCCTCTAAGAAGAAATGAGTAGCAACATTCACCTGACATGAGCATAAACTACTTCAGGAGGACATAATCTGAAAATAAGTGTGCAGTGGTGATCTGTAAAATAGGTGGTAGTTTATAATAGCACAAAGGTAGACACAAAACTAAGTATTTTTGTTGTTTTTGCTTGTTTGTTTTTCTGAGACAGGTTATCTTTGTGTGGCCCTGACTGTCCTGGAACTCATTCTGCAGACCAGAATAGAGGTCTGCCTGTCTCTGCAGGGTTCTGGGATCAAAGGTGTGAGCCACCACTGCCTGGCCTCACTTTGGAAGTGTAATCTTTAGTTGTGGTTGAAGGGAGAGAACTTAGCCCATTTTGTTTAGCATATCCAAGGTCTTCTTAAAAGGTCACTCTATGTTAGTGCACTTGGACCGTGAGACTGTAGCATGATTGTTCTTTAGGACAGACTGACAGCTTTTTTTCTCTTGTCCTTTGTTATTCCTAGGCTCCTTGTGTCTGTTCTGTATTTAGCTGTCAGATTCCTTGGCCACTTCTGCTTTACTGCAAGGTGCCAGTTCTCAGGGTGTGTCATGAGTTTGGAATAAGGTTAAAGCCTAGAATATCTACAGTACTGGAAATGCTAGGAATTTCAGGCTTATGAGTTTCACAACTAAGTTAAGAACCTAGCTGCTGACCTCAAGTGTCACAACTCTTGTTCAATTTTAAGGTTATAAAGGTGTCAGGTAAAAGGAAAATTAGCAGGTAACTAGGCATTGGACATGAGGTAATCTTATAGAGTATCTTGAGATTGTATTATATTGATGTTCTTAATTGTGTATTTTCAAACCATATTTTCCTTGTGTATTGGCTTAGAATTGAGTTGGGAGTTTAATCCTTTAAAGGAGCAAACAGAAATTTTTTAGAGTTTGTGGGACCCATGGTCTCTCATAGAGACCTGTATTCTGTGTTTAGCCCTGCTGTTAGTCTGTTGTTTCTGAAAAACAGCCAAAGATAATACAGAAACAAAAATGGAGTGGCTGGATTCCGATAAAAAGAATTTAGCGTCTTAGCTATAATTTACCAAACCCTGGTTAATTACTAGTACCTTCATTTCACATCGGAGAAAGAATATGAAGAGAGTTTGGGTGGCGTGTTTGATGTCCAATTTTGATTTTCTGGTATTGTAATCATGTATTTCCTTATCTCTTTTTGTTAACTATGATGTTTTTTTTCGTTTGTTTGGTTTTTTAGTTTTTGGGACAGGATTTCTCTGTGTAACAGCCCTGGCTTTCCTGAAACTCATTTTGTAATCCAGGCTGTCCTTGAACTCACAGATTCACCTACCTCTGCCTTCCAAGCACTGGGCTTAAAGGCATGCACCACCTGGCTTCAAATTTAATGGTTTTTGTTTGTTTGTTTTTCGAGACAAGGTTTCCCTGTAGCCTTTGCTGTCCTGGAATTAGCTCGATAGACCAGGCTGGCCTCAAATTCACAGAGACCCACCTGTCTCTGCCTCCTGAGTGCTGGGATTAAAGATGTGGGCCGATACTGCCCATTTTTTGCTCATCCTACCCATTTTTAAAGATGAAAAAATATTATATTTTATGTGTGTGGGCATTTTATCTGTGTACATCTATGCACCATATGCTGTGCCTGGTATCCTTGGAGGCCAGAAGAGGACATCGGAGTCTCTGGAAAAGAAATTACAGATGATTATGAGCCGCCATGTGGGTTCTGGAAATTGAACCTAGGTCCTGTGTAAGATGAGCCAGTGCTATTAAACACTGAGCCATCTCTCCAGCATCTGTCTTTTTGTTTTTATTAGTTACTGGGAGGTTTGCTGAAATTTCCTTCTGTGGTAGGCACTGTTATGAAGTAGCCTAAGATTTTCAGCTTATGGTATACATGCATGGTACAGTTATTTCTCCTTGAGTATAGTCAAGAATATAATAAGTTATTTTGATTCCCATTTTTTAATGTATTTCAATTATTCACAGTAACTTCTCTATTTTTTAAGAAAGGTGAAGAGATTTTGCAGGTATAGTTAAGGTCCCAAATGAATTGCATTTGGATGTCAATTAAAAGGAAAATGATCTTGAATGGGCCTACATTAAAACGCATCTGGGCCTTTGAGAAGGCAGATTCATAATATGATTTTTACTTTGAGTAAGCAGACTGGTATGTTGAGGAGAAAACAACCTAATAGGAAGTGTCAAGGGGCTCTGAGGTTTCTTTGAAAAAACTGCAGGTTGCTGAATTCTGCAAATAAGTGAGCTTAGAGGATTTGAAGCAAAAGATGGGTAGGATGAGCTAGCACCTCAATAACACCAGGATTTCAACAATGTGATTTAAATAGAGGTTGAGTTTACTAGAATGTTTGATCTGTAGATACAGATGAGTTCTTGGCTGGTGTCCTAGGGGGATGAGCTCAGTGTACTCATCCTCAGCTGAGCCGACAGAGGAGGGGCAAGGTGTGTACCTGTGCGGGAGAGGGGCTTAGGCAAGGAGCCTTGCCCGAACTGTCCTCACTTCACAATTATTTGCAAAATAGGCAAACAAGTGAATATTGTTTTAAGCTGCTAATACCCATTGCAGCATTGGAGAATTAATTCACTGCTTGTAAACCATTTTTGCCATTTTAGCTCTGATATTAGAATATATTTAGGGCTGTAGGTGGTACTTCCCTGCTTAGCCTGCTGCCCCCTTGCAGTGTACTCCAAGGTTTAAGAGGGGGGAGATGTATGTATACATATATGTATGTGTGTTTGTGCACAAACGCATGCTGTTTTACTTAGGTATATAAAATTGACTCCTACATAGTGAATTTAGCCTGTTATTACTATGAAGGTTCTCCATTAGTTATAGTAAAGCTGTTTGACAAGGCCTGTCTTGTGTGTTCTGAGTACAGCCATCCTAGCTTTTTGTTCCCTGTGTCTGAATTAAGATGAGTCTCTTGAGTAGAATTGTTTTTTTATTACTTCAGTGCTGAAATTGAAACTGAGGCATAACACATCCCCCTTCCCACAGACAAGGTTTCTTTGTGTAGCCTCAACTGTCCTGAACTCTCTGGAGACCAGGCTGACCTTAAACTCAGAGAGATCCACCTGAGATCCACCTGCCTCTGCCTCCAGAGTGCTGGGATCAAAGGCGTGCGCCACCACTGCCTGGCAAGGCCTAACACCTAAGCTTGTGCTCTCTACCACTGCACTGCATTCTTGAGCCCTTGTTCTTTACCTGGTCTGTCCTTTCATTAGATTATTTATTTACATGTCATTTAAATAATGTTCACTCTTTTTTGCAATTTTAATTATGTTTAATTTCTTTGCTTTTTCTTTTTTCCTTTTTAGTGATTACAATAAAGATTAAAATATGCATTTTTGATTCATTGAAGGCTAATACAATTTAATATTCACCACTTCTTGGGCATTGAAAGAGCTTTAGTTCTGATCATCTCCCTCCCCCTGTCCCTGTGATGGGGGGGGGGTATTTGGGCTCCAGTTCAGGTCCCTATACATGTTAGTCCATACTGAGCCCCTTAGTGTTGATTTGTGATTTTAATTTTTAGACTATTTCTTATGTGCCAGCACTCTGTCTGCTCTTGTGTAAGTTCTTGTTTGTATTGAAGCTTAGCTCTTTTGAGTGACTGCACAGCACTATTTGGGTCTTGAGGTGATCATTTTTCTTCTAGAGATTTCCTTCTGCTTTTTCTGCAGACCATCGGGGGGGTTGATCACATTACCCTGGTCTAGGGTTGAAAGTTGGAAAAACTGGGCTTTTTGTCCATGAGGACTGGTTTGTTTCCAGTTCACTTTTTCTTCGGAGTAGCTTTCTGTAACCTAGCAAAACCGTGTTTATTTATTTGAACAGGGCCTTTTCTACTTCGTGAATACTGGATGCTTCCACTTTCTTTTTTTAATCTATCAGACCTATAGTATTGCCTAAACCTGGACTCATCTCTTTGGCCACTTGTTTTAGAATTGGTAATTGCTTAAAATCAAGGTGATTTTAGATGCCTAATTGACCTCTTGTGTTTTTATTTGATTATTTTCTGCTTTTTCTTTTTTGGAATTCCCCTTGAACTCTCACTCCAGGAGATACAGACATACCACCACCTCTGGCTACTTTGTTGGTGGCTCCCCTTTTCATTTTACTTTGTGCTAGTGTTTTACCTGTTAAGAGGAAACTGAGGACTTTATTCAGTGTTTAAAATTAATTTTCAATTCATTGTCCTATATTTTGTCAATATATGTTGAACAGAATTCACTTACTATAAGATTGTTTCCTGGGTTGGCAACTGGCCTACTGAGTTTCAATGAGATTGAAGTCTCATTGTGCACACACAGTTCTGATTCTGGTGTGCTTTTGCAGAAGGTGCACGTGAGGAAGACCTGGATGCTGTGGAAGCTCAGATTGGCTGCAAGCTCCCTGATGATTATCGCTGTTCATACCGGATTCACAATGGGCAGAAGTTAGTGGTTCCAGGGTAAGATGTCTGATGTTTGAGTCATTCTCAGACATTGACATTACACATTCTGTTCACAGTTTTCTTTAGTTATCTTATATATAAGAAAATGTATGTTTATATATTATGAATGTATGTATTGTCGAGAGGGGGGTTCCCTCTTCTTTATAGCAATCCATAAGATAATATAGGTTAAATTAAATTTTACCAGAATAAATGTGTCACATAGAAGCGTTATGCCTGACAACACATATTTATGATTAAAGTGAGAACTGGTTGGGGATGGGAGCTGTGGGACACAGGAGAGAGATACATGTGCCTATATTTGTGAGTATACACTTTATGTGTTTATTACCCTGTTACAAGTTAGGCAAAATGTTTTAGGAACTTGATGCAAGTTCTCTCAACTATAGTTGATATCCCCTGGCATTCTCCAAGGGGATCCTCCCGATAACACAGAGTACTACTCAGAAATGAAATAGCAGGGATGGGGCATAAACAGGCCAGTTTAGGGGGCTGGAGAGATGTCTCAGTGATTAAGGGTGAGTACTACTCTTGCACAGGTCCCCAGTTCATAGCACCCACATTGGGCTACTCCCAACGGCCAGTAACTCAAACTCCAGGGACTCCCAATGACTCTGGCACCTACACTCATTCTCTCTCTCTCTCTTGGCTTTTCAAGACAGGGTTTCTCAGAAGCTATGGAGCCTGCCCTGGAACTCTCTATAGACCAGGCTGGCCTCAAACTCACAGAGATCCGCCTGCCTCTGCCTCCTGAGTGCTGGGATTAAAGGTGTGCGCCACCACTGCCCAGCCTGAGACTATTTTCTAGTGTGTGCTATCCAAAAATTCCCTATCTAGCCCTAGTCTCATTATTTCATTCGTCTTTCTGCCTTAGTCTTAGTGTGGGGTTACAGAATGAACCACCACACCAAGTTCCTTAAAGGCAGTAAAGTTATAATTCTTCTAAAATCACTGATGTTTAAGTACTTTAGACATTTAATTTTTAAATATAAATAAGAATATTCTGATTTAAAGAATGAATTTGAGCCAGGCAGTGGTGGTGCATGCCTTTAATCCCAGCACTCAGGAAGCAGAGGTAGGCAGATCTCTGAGTTAGAGGCCAGCCTGGTCTACAGTGTTTTTTTTTAACTCTTTGGGGGCCCGCCACCCAGCTCCCCAATAAATACAGAGGCTAATTCTTTCTTATAAATGTCTGACCTTAGCTTTGCTAATTTCTAGCCAGCTTTTCTTAATGTAAATTATCCCATCTATCTTGCCTCTGGGCTTTTATCTTTCTCTACTTCTATATACCTTTCTTTACTTCTTTCCCCATAGCTTGCAGTGTATCTGTGCGGCTGGCCCCTGGTATCTTCCTCGCTCCTCAATCCTTACTTCCCAGATTTCACCTCCTATTTATTTTTTCTGCCTGCCAACCCTGCCTGTCCTTTCTCCTGTCTCTCTATTGGCCATTCAGCTCTTTATTAGACCAATCAGGTGTTTTAGACAAAGTAACACAGCATCACAGAGTTAAACAAATGTGACAAAAGAATGCAACACATCTTTGCATTATTAAACATTCCACAGCATAAACAAATGTAACACATCTTAAAATAATATTCTACAATATACAGTGTGAGTTCTAGGACAACCAGAACTACACACAGAGAAACCCTGTCTCAAAAAAGAAGAAAAAATAGTGAATTTGTGAAGCTGAATGTGTTGAATGGGGGACACGAGTCAAATAATCCAAGCTCACTCTGAACAGAGTGTGGTAAGTACCAGGCTGGCCAAGGATGCATTGGAAGAACCAAAACAAAACAAAACTTTTTAGTGTGAAATCATTCACCGAGAAGATGAAACCCAAACCCCACGGCCCAGTATGTTTCTGTTGCTCTGCTGTTGACAGCTTTGTGTCTGCGTTCTCCTCAGGTTGCTCGGAAGTATGGCGCTGTCAAATCACTACCGCTCTGAAGATTTACTAGATGTTGATACTGCTGCCGGAGGATTTCAGCAGAGACAAGGACTGAAATACTGTCTCCCTTTAACCTTTTGCATACATACGGGCTTGAGTCAGTACATAGCTGTGGAAGCTGCAGAGGGCCGAAATAAAAATGAAGTGTTCTACCAATGTCCAGTAAGTGGGGAGTGTGCTTGACTATGGCTTTAACGTGTTCTGACAATAAATGTATGAATTGGCTACATTTAGGGACATAAAATAAGCTGGAGCATTATACATTTTATTATAATAAAATAAATAATATAATAATATAATAATATAAAATTATAATAATATAATAAAATATTAAATCAAATTAAATATTTGCTTTAATTAAAATTAAAATCAATATATTATATTATACCAAATATAATAATATATATTATTATTAATCATCACATGGTGATATGGATAACCAAAAGGAAGATTTGCCATTGGACAAATAGTGCCGACTGTGACATGTTTAGATGGAAAGTTGTGATTCACGTTAAGGAACTTATTATCAGAGTCCTTGATTGTAAAATGTAAAATTATCTTTTGAGCATCCTAGAATTGTTCAGGTCTCTTGACTCTGAATTGAAAGCTCTTTCTTCTAGGATAACAAGCAATCTACTTTATCACTTCTACTTACTAATTATGTTCTTGAAGGATAGTTTCCTAAGTTGTCTTAATAGTAATAGCACTCTATGTTTTCATTTTATTGAGAGGTGCCTCCAAACATTTTATAGAGTAAGTCCAAGCTAGAAATTATAATAGTCGGAACTGACAGGTGTTGCTAAAATTCCTTAAGGAGAGACATAAGTCCTCTCTACCCTTCCTCCTAAGGTCCCAGTGACAAAACTGAGGCATGGGCCCACCAGAGTTCACTCTGGGGAACCAGTGACTGTATTTATAGTGAGGGACTACTTATAGGCATTGTGGGTACCCCTCCATGAACTGGCTGCACCTCAAAAGCTTTACCCAGCAGGTATGGGGACTTCCCCATAGCTGTACCGATGGACTCTCAGCCCTAGTCTTCTGTACCAGGTATTAGGGAACAGCTGGAGACTGGGCTTTTCTGTGGAAATGGGGTATAAA